AGAGAATGAAAAAAAACCTGCTTTTCTCTATCCCTGCTCAATATTCATATTCAACGAAAAGAATAACAAGCCGATCAATAATTCTCCTCATGAGCTATTCCTATGGAGGAATTCATTGAAACAAACTATCCCTGAGAATAACTGGAGAGTCTATTTCTAGTGTGACCTATTGAAAACTATGTCATTTCATTGAAAACCGTAATACAAATCATCATAACTTGGAGAAAAGGCCGATGGATAAGAATTAATTTTATAATTGTTTAGTCTCGATAGAGTCTATCTAATGGAAGGGATTTCATCTCAAAAACAGATCACAAGCTCAAGAGGTTTTTCTGTTAGAGGTCAACGCATTTCGAATAAGGCACACAGATCAGAAAATAAGATATTTTCTTGTGTAAACAGGCTTTTCTTCACCATTGATAAGAGGAGTTGCTTCGTATGTGGCTTGACTTCAAGTACTTTGATTATTCATTTCAACTCTTATTTAAATTGATGAACCGTTCGTTTAAATTGTTTCAAATCGAATGAACATTTGAGAAAATTTCGCTAGTTGAAATTTGATTTTATCGATTCGTTCGAGTAAGGAGCTATTTGATTTCTGATCGCGAATTGTATTATTGATTTTATCTTCAAGATCATTGTGATCGTCAATCAACCAACCTAGTTCATTGTTCATCTTTTCACAATTATACTAATTGTCTTTCTTGCATTCTGAATAATCTTTTGATGTACTTATTTCTACCGAAAATAAAACAAAAAAGATTATTTTTCTTTGATAAGGTGGGTGTGAGTGTGGGGTGTGGGTCTCGATAAAGAGGATAGAACATCCACACCCACACCCACACCTCACACCCACACCCGACACCCACACCCACACCCACCCACACCCCGCCCACAGCCACAGCCACACCCTTTCTTTTCATATTGAATATATAGTCTTTTTTAACTTCAATCATAGGTCGTTCTCTTGTATTTAATTATTTAATTGCTAGTCAGATGCTGCATATTCTCCTTCTTGAAAATAGATATGTGAAAAATTAGTAATTCTGACGACATTTGCAAGAATTTTATTATTCATGATTGAAGGAATTATTATAATTAGTGTAGTTATTCTAAATGGTATTCGTGAGTGTGGTAGAAGTGAAAGCTCACGCCTACACCTTGATAGATCACAGTTTTTTCATTATGATAAAAAATAGAAGAGTAGAATAAAAGAAGTGTTAAACTCATGAGAAACGAAATATAAAAGCAATTCTTCAGATATTCTCTGTTACTTGGAAAATTTCTTCATTTTATCGAATTATTTTTCAGTTGTCTGTTACACTAAACTAATTTATCATTATAATTCTCATATACTATAATATAAGAAAATGTATTTGAAAATTCTAATAGATAATAACACTTATCGATTAGTGATTTACATTTTTGAAACATATGAAAATTCTTCACTTTAACTCCTACAAAAAATGCTGATACATATGCTTGAAAATAGTAATAACTAATTAATGTTCTATTGATAAATTCTAGGAAGAATTAACTCATTTCAGGAATAAATCTTTTAAATAATTAAAATTATTTCACATGTTATGATATTTGTTTTAGATATTTCTTCTAATAAATGAAATATATTTTTTTGATCAGATTATTAAAAAAACAAATTATTTTCTTCATTTTTTTACGAGAAAATTGTTTGACACATGCATCCATTTAATAGTTTGTTCTTTATACAACTTTTTGTTGTTATTCAATGAGATATTTTTAGGCAGCCATATTCAGAAATGAACATATGATTTTTTTAACAATATACTATTATTGTCTTCTCTATAGATAGAAAACTGAATGCTCTGAAAACTGTAATTTTGGTTTCTAAAAGTATATTTTCTTATGAAAAAATTTAAAAGTTTAAAACGTAGTCAATCTTTAAACTTCACTTTTATGTTTTTCTCATATATTATCGATTAGTTAAAGCCTTTTCTCGATAAACTTCGACATGAATTAATGTAAATTTTTACATTACAATTTAGGAGGAAAAGTGTTCGAGCTAGCAGGTGATAATGTTCAAGTGAAATCAATTTGTCTAAAACTCGAATTTGGTTGTGCAAAATTTATTTGGACATTTTTATAAATAGAATTGAAATCGGAAAGATATTGGTGCAAATATTCTGTCAGAAAAGTGATTTTATTCGGTATTGTCACATTTTTTAAATCACAAAAACGTTTTCTCGTTGATTCGTCTTTCGAAATATTTAAATTTAGATAACGAGCTGTAGAAGTTCATAATGAATCTTATGCTATGTTCATAATTTCAAGAAAATTGTTCCAAAAAATTCATCATCGTCTTTTGAGTCTTAATGTATTATGATTTGTAAATCAGACATTGTCAAGCTTTTAAGTTTTTCAATGAGACTGTACAGGATGGGCTATAACTAGCACCACGATAGGGTGTGGATCTTCTCGTAATCCACACATACCCTTTCTTCAATTGAATCTTTACAAGAAAACGAAACACATAGTAAATTTTTTCGATTATAAAAATTCTTGATTTTTCTAAATCGAATAAATATGAATGCAAAGAATATGTTTTACATGTTTGTAATAAATGGCTTATTTCTTTTGCGAAACAGTTCATATTTTTGACAGTAAATCATTTTATCAAAAAGAAACGATATATTTCTTTTCAAACACAAAACTCATGTAATAATCAGTTTAATGATCGTCATGAATTTCGATCAGTAAACATTGAATCAAAGAAAATCAGCCTTTCATTCACTAGTTTAATACTAAATAGAGATGTTTTTATTTTTATTTAAAGACATTTATTCCTAAGAAGATCCGTTGACTGTTATTTTTTTTTTCTTGTGAGCTGAGATGCTATTGAAATCGTATATTTGTAAGTGTTCAGTGACTAAACTTGTGCCTATGAGTATCAAAAACGAAAAGATGGGATGAAATTAATAGAATATTGAGAGAATGTGATTTTTTTTAACCGAAACCATCTATGATTTCACATACGATTTTATGTTCGTGAACTACCTAAGATTTTATACTGCTCAAAGAGTCATCTTTAATAACTAAGATCAACTCTTACAGTATAGATAAATATGATGACAACTGAAGCTATTGTCAGAAATTACATAGCAAGAATTCTGTCCCTCGTTTCATCTTGGCAAACAGAAATGTAATTGGCAGGTTTTTCAATGGAAATTGCTGATATAAATGTAGCGACTATTTAGTTGTTTTAAAAATCTGATACAACAATAAATATAAAAACCATATTAATATACTTTTGTGAAACAGTTTTGGTAGTTCATTTTCTATGCGTATATCTTTAACATGATAGAATTCACGATGGTAATTTAGGTCTATAAAGATTCTCAGAAAATTGATTTTTGACTGAAAAAATCCTGATTTTTCTAGAAACTCTTATTTTAGATTCGAAAAAAAAGTACATTATCAATTATGAAAATAATAAAAATTGTTTTCTGGCAAACTTGAGAGATCACTTTGAAAAATTTTTTGAATATTTTAGTTTTCATAGATAATGAATCATAGAGTAAAATTTGAACTCTACGTTATGTTTTCTGATACTTTTCTAGGAAGATTTATGAATGGTAGATATTAGAACTAAATGAAATTCATTACAGAATATTGAATCCTTCACACATTCTTGTATTATCAGACATAATCACATTTTCATTTTGACATAATGAAAGTCACAACAATAAAATTTCTTTATTGCTGTTCATATTCTTTTCATTCGTCCGTTATCATTTGCAGATAGCGCATTAATGTGAGTCTATCTTGCTAGGAGTTGAAGGTGTGAGTGTGGGTGTGAGTAGAGCAAAGATCTATACCTACCCCCACACCCCTCACACACCCACACCCTTACTCCATGTAGGGTAAATTCGTAAAATTTTTTCTTAAAAGTTCCCTGAAAAGAATTTTGTTGAGAATTAGGATTTTTCATACAAATATTTCAAAATACACTGATGTTATAGAGAAGCTCTTGACGAATCTACTCATGAAAAAATTTTCATAGAAAAATAAATAGAACGCTTATAAATATGATTTTTTTTCTCAATCAAGCTAAAAACAGCTGAGATTACGGATTTACTCCAAGTGTGAAAAATCCGTACTGCTGATGCAGGTCTCAGCAAAACTATCGCCACTACGTTACACGACGAGATTTCAGAAAACTGATTTCACAGGTCGATAGAGAAAAGATTTCTCTATATTGTTTTATGAAAAAATTTTTTCAAAATATTGAAAAATAAAAAAGTTACTTCGGTTTTACAAAGAATTGTCTTTTTTTATTACGGATTTACCTCACCTTACTCTACACAACAAAACAGTACTTCTCTCGATATCTTGCAGAGGCACCAAGATACTAATTATGATGATCTATGTTATATGATGAACATAGAGTGACACCAATTAACTCCAAAAAGCTGAAGAAAACAATGGTATCTTCAATACTACGTGTATAGTCGTTCCATTCTCGATTAGTAAAATTGTCAACAGGAGTAAGAGATGTATAACACATGCTGATGTATAGTTTGTCTTAGTATCTTGATGTATACTTTTATAAGCAAAGAAGCAGTTTCATCTGTCAAGTGATTTAGCACTTCACAAGTTTTTACCTATTGAATTTTATTGAACTGAACTCCAAAGAACAAAAGAAAACAAAACATAATTGCTCTCTTATCCAATTACGCCATCTAACTGTTTCTCAAGTTTAGTGGTTGACTATATGTGCCAATTGAATATTTTTCTTTTCTGTCAATGTCATTCATATGCAGTATATATTCTAGCAACAAAAATCGAACTTTGATGTCGAACAGAAAACGTCAGAAAACAACAAGAATCAGTCAAGAGAGTAAAATGTAAGTCACATTAATTATTGTTCTCTTACTCACCTGTTCATTTAAACTTATTTACCCGGCAGTTTGAACAGTACTACAGCTACAAAATTTGAAGATTTACCAAATGAGTTGATATTAATGTGTTTTAATTATTTTGATTTCTATCAATTATATGAAACATTTTTTTGTTTAAATCAACGTTTTAACAAATTAATTCTATATGATGCAAAAATTCATGTTGATTTTGGTGCAATTCCAAATGGAAAATTTTTAACATTTTGTTTTAATTTAAATCAGTTAACAAATACAAATAAAAACTATCCATTATCAATTCAGGCTGATAATGAATATCAATTTAATATATTTTTCGAAGATGATTTATTCAAAGATAAATTTTCTAAACTAAAATCATTAACAATAAATGATATAAAACTTGCAACATTAAGCAACACAATATTTGACAAAAAGATAAAATTATATGAAACATTAGAACGATTAAGTTTAATGGAAGATATCAGTGGAGAAAGCTATGAAATAGAAGGTAAGAAACTATCTCAGTAATTGAAAACTGATTAGAGCATGATTATTTGTCTTTGTAGAATTATGTAATAATTTAATATCATCAAAAATGAAATCATTAAAATATTTGAATTTGAATTTTGAAATACATGAGTGTGAATGTGAACATGATGTGTACAAACGTGAAGATTATGTTGATTTGAATTTTGAAGAATTATCGATAAGAAAAAACTCATTAAATAATTTAGAAACAGTTATTATTGGTTGTAAGTTATCAAAATTGTATCTTTTTATATGCATATATCTTATTTCTTTAATTAGATATTCCTAAAAATGATTGTGATTTTTCAACAACAAGAATATCGTTTTATTCATTGGCTGAAAAGTTATTACCTTGTCTACCAAAATTAAAGAATTTAATTATAAATTCAGTTTATTTAGATTCATATGATGATCAATACTATCAACGTAAAGTATGCAGAAAATATTCTCATATCTTCTGATAAAAATCTTACACTAAATTCGATTAGCAAGAGCTAGAGAATTACAAGAAGACATGCATTGTCTAACAACGAAAATATGTTTTAAGAACAGTTTGACTAAAATTTTATCCATTTCTTCCTTATAGATATATTATTGATAATTCGATACTATTTTCATTTTTTATTAGTTCGCTTTATTAAATTTTTCTATTCTATGATAGACATCGTCAATTGAACGAAAAAAAATTGTTATTCCATCAAATTTAAAATTAATTAAAATTTGGACTATTGTGAATAAATACAAAAAAGATGATAACAAAAAACTTGAAAAGTTGTTACGAAAATATTTTATGAATAACAGTTCAACAACAATTAAAATATTTACTATTAACAATAAAAATGTTTTAAGAAAAAAATTTTAGAACTTCATCTATTTCATGTACATGATAATGTTTTATATATGATCTAGTCATTTTTTTGTTCAGAATAAACTTGTATTTGTTACTTTTTAAAGAGTTTTTCTTCATATCTTGTATTTACTTTAACTAAGAAAGATAAAATAAGAAGAACAAAAAGAAAAACTTGGAACACTTTCTGTAATGTTATAAAAAGAAAGTAAAATGTTTGTATTTCTTCTTATCCATGACATTCATGCTTAAAAATTAAGAAAACATGTAGTACTCCTTTACACATTTTTTTCTTTGTATCACGTGTTTTCCGTAACTAAGAAAGTCTAATTTTTAGAGGCGACAGAGAAAGCACTTCAATCGAATTCCATCGCACAAAATTTTTAATAATATAGGCTTCATACAGTTTCAAAAAATTATGTGATTATGATTAATATCCAACCATGCACAAAATTATTCATTTAGTCTTTGCGATCTCGACGTTCAATTTTCTTGACAATTCTGTAACCTATAATTATCCCATTCGATACATCGAACAATTTTGAGTTTTGAATTTTTATAAACAAAACATTGAGAGTTTGATGTATACAGATAAAAGACAAAAAATATTTGAAATCTTAAAATTCTATTGATATAAAAATAGCATATTTCAAATTATTTAAGTGTTGACAATTTACAGTCATTTAGAAAAATTGAGAAAATTCTTTGTACCATTATGATTTTTCATACCTACAAAGTTGCCGATTGCTGCACTCCACCTTGATTAATGTTGACGAAAAAAAAGCGTGGGAAAATGTCAAAACTTGAAGGATAAGTGATATCATCTTTGGAAATACGAATAAATCCGTTTGTTTTCAACTCTTGCTTCTTAGCAATCGATGAATCGACGAAATAAGGAGAAAGAAAAATGCAGTTTAATTGCTGTCATTTGATACTATTTATTAAGATAACATTCACCAGGGATCTGCATTTTTACAATAAGCAAACAATGGAAAAACACGTACACATCTATAAAAAGTAAATAAGAGAAAACATATGACTTCAACATTGAGTCTTTTCCTATTGATTGATTCATTATTTATTTTAGAATTGTCAGTTATTAGTTTTTCTTATTTTTCTTATTAACTAAGAATTGAAAGCGATCATCCCTGTGCCACTGGGTAATTTTCAATCATAGACTGAAATAATCAAGATTTTTGACTATGGGTAGCAGCAGGAAGACGGTGCTGAACACATCTTTGCTACAATTAGATGAACTAGCAGCCATGACAGGTTTCGTCCTTGCTTAAAGGGCTCATCAGATGGCATCGTTCAAATTCATCATAACCGAAGTTATGACAAAAACCGTGTTCTACTCCTTTGCAGAAGAGAACCAGTGTTAAATTGTATGACTGCAATTAGATGAACTAGCAGCCATACAATTTGACACTGGTTCTCTTCCACAAAGAAGTAGAAGATGATTTTTCTCATAACTTCGATTATGATGAATTTGAACGATGCTACCTGATGAGTCCCTTAAGCAAGGACGAAACAGGTCATGGCTGCTAGTTCATTTAATTCAATGAAAAAATTCATATCTAAAACTTCTTTCGTATTTTCCTCAAAACACGTGTTTCAAATAGGAAAATTGAAATAACTTTCTCCCGACTCCGGTATAGTCGATTTTTTATTTATTTTAAAGGTCTTCATCAGGGCTAAATTTTCATCGGACGGATTCTTGATAGCTTGATTCCTGGATTGAGAAAAGTGAAATTTATTGTCGATCGGATTATTTTTTTAATGCTTATTGTGAACATCATGTCCATTAAAAAATGTCCATAAAAAATGAATAAAAGAGAATTACAAAAGGGTGTGGGTGTGTGAGTGGGTGTGGACTGTGGGTGTGCCTGTGGGCTGTAGGTGTGGAGTGTGTGCGTGAAGTGTGGGTGGGTATGGGCGTCGTTCTCATCCTGTGTGCTATTACTCACATTTACACTCACACCCTCAATCACACTCACCCACACCCATGCAGACACCCACACCGACAACCACACCCACACCCGTTTTTTCTTTCCTGCTCTCCTGTGTTAAAAGTGAAGTGAGCTAGTACTCACTTAGATATTTCATCAAATAAGAATGTTATCAAATATTTTGGTTTTTTTTTAGATTTATTTATTTCTTAAATATCATCATCACCAAATTATCATCTTATTCTAAAAGATCGATTTATTTATCATCGTCATAAGGTAAAGTTATTTTTTGATTAAAATAGAATTTCAGTTAAATAAATAAATATCAACACAAGAAAAATATTATTATATCTTCTTTCACATTTTATTAATATAGACTTCTTTTCATATTTAGAGAATGCGTGTAAAGATCATGGAAAATGCAAATCCAGCAAGCATGCTGAGACTTGAATTGGATCAAAATGAAGCAATATCATTAGAATATTTACAATTGTATTTCAAGGAAGCAAGTGGTCTAAAGTTTCAAGATGTTTCAACAGGAGAATGGAACACGTTAGTAGTTCTGTTTTGTTGATTTAGATGGTATTTCGTCTCTATTTGTGTTCTTGTTTGTCGAGTAAGACGGATCATGTTTAGGAATAGTAGGTATGAGCTTATTCGTTATTGTTTGATTAGGGAGGTATGAATAGTTTATCTTAAAAACTTCTTTTTAAGCAATAGTATTGCTACATTCCTATTAATTGTACTAATTAATGACTAAAAATGTTATTATTTATTACTGGGTAATAAGTAAAAAAATTCAAAATGTAATAAGATTGAAAAATGATATAAGTAATAACTAATAGAGTAATAAGTGACAGCTTCATCTTTTACTAGAAAAAAAAACAGTTAAAGCTTGAATAATGTTAAAATAATAAATAGTAAAAGCTATCCGTAATAAAAATTAATAAGTAATAAATAAAATAATAAATTTAGAAAATGTGAACTAGACAATTTTGTTTTGAAAATTTCAGTTGGTTACTGTATCTTTGAAGTAAGGCTGATTTTGCACTCGTCTTGTAATTCCTTGTATTCACTTTTTGCATGATTATATGAACTTGATATACAATTAAATTTTTTTAATGTTTTTTTTTTACTGTAGCGTATTATTCAAAAATGGACACTTCTTATTTAATAGAGATGATGCTAATGCAGATACAATGTTTGTTGTTCATCGTCGAGTCGGTAAGTTTTTTTAGGTTTAGTAGAGCTATATATATTTTTTCTTGCTTAAGCTCATCATTAGAATCATCTTATGATGATAAAGAGATAGTAACCTTTAGTCAGTCGTCATAACTAAACAATGTTACCTTACTTTCTGTTATCACAAATCACTTTTTTTTCTTGTAAATACTATAAACCGTTTCATTTCGTTTTTATGAACTTCAGTATATTCAAAAGCAAAATTTAATGTAATAAGCAAGCCAATATAGCTTCAGTTTATGTGTCTGATAAAAAGCGCATGATAACATTGTTTGAGTTAGCAAAACCATGAATTCATCTCTTTAGGTTTTTGTGAAAGTTTTTGCTTTTAAAAACTTTATATATTGGTGTGAAAAAATATGCCGACTCGATATTATCCAAAATTTCCTAGTGTGCAACTATAACTTTTATATAAATGTACTATTTATAGAACTGATATCCCGATGAAATTAAATATCATATTAGAGAAAGTTCAGACAATAAATATTGGAATCGGTTTTTTTTGATACTGCATTATTTAACCCTCTGACTCTGACTGTCCCAAACGGACATATATACAAAGAGACCACATTAGCAACAAAAAATCCAAAAATAAGAAGTATAATAGATATAAGGAAAAGAAAATTAAGAACTGAAACACTAGAAGCTTTAAGATTATTTTGCAAAACATGGATACTCCTTTGTATCTAGTGATACAACTGATTCCCTCGCGCCGTCATTGTGAATCATGATGCTTTCGAGGCATTTAGACAACCTCAGTTGTACTTAGTTAAGTATCAATAATGTTAATTATTTAGAAAGCGTATATCACTTGCTCATAGTCTTGTTGAAAAGAAATAAAAGAGATTGAAAAGCTTTGTTCCCGAACAAAAATGTATTTGTATAAATTTATAACATATCTTAGCATTATTTCAGTTTGCTGAGAAAAAAAATAACAGTTTTGGACTATTTGATCGGAGATAATTTCGAGATTTGGAATAATTTATAAATTGCTTGAAAAAACGTGTTTTTTTCTTAAGACTATGTCTCTCTATAAGAAATATGAGTTATAGTTTTTACGAAAGAAAATACTCGTTGGTTTTGCTTGAAACACTGATTAGTAGTAGATTTAAGCTTTCTGAAGAGATTTATCAAAAGTCATCATGATCACTTTTGATTTTGAGAAGCAGAAGTGAATGAAATATTCTTGAGTAGATTATCTCCAGCCAAAATGGCTAGCGCGTTCTCTTTACCAATATTTTCGCGCTGAACGTTCGTTTTATTTGCCTAAATTTACAAATAAAGCGAACTCATACTATATTTTTAAAAAATCTCATTGAAATTTGCAAGCAGGTGTGAGTAAATTCACTACTCGTTGTGTTTTTTTGCTTGTACTCCACTGCAGCGGTCACTTTACCAGCATGACAGATAAAGCAAATGTTTTAAGTATGTCATTTTATACCACTAATTACTCAATCATTAGAGCATCTACAATTTTTTTTCTTTATATGAATCGATAGAGAAATTAATTCTCTTCGCAACTATATAAAAACAAAATTTTTAGTTCTTCAAATAACTGAGATATAAGAGATGAAACAGAGGCACCCTTAAAAACGTTCGATTTACCAATATTGACTCTATGAATGTAAGGTTAATCGAAGTTTCCACCCTTCTCCGCTTTATAGAGAGGCGCGCAACACGAATAGTTGCTACGTGTAGAATATCGTTTAGAATTTTTAACATTTGGCGATGTCTATAGATCTTTTTAAGGAGGCTGATTTTTGCATCTATAATATTGTAAAGATTTAAATAGCATATAAGATTCTATATTCAACTGTTAAATCAGACGATAATATATCGAGCGATAGTGACTAACTGTAAGTTGTTATATTTTCCAATCAATTAGACAGCTAAGAAGTTGGATAGTAAATTTTTCTGTTCCCTGTATAAATAACTATTCGGAGAAATAGTTTGTTATGGTTTTGTTTATTTACGAATGAGGGTTATTCCGAATTCGCTTATAAGCTTCCAGCCAATAAGAAGAGGGATGAACATATATCGTTTGTTGCTAAGAGCGGCTTGTCGTCTTTGAATTTTTTCTTTGCATTTTCTATTCGCTTATTATATGATAGTTACATCGTTTCTTTCTTTTGATCATTTCTCTCTTTCTTTCTCTACTCTAAATACAATCAATCAATATAACTTCGGAAAAAAAGACTATTTGATGCTCTCTATATTATTATCATAAAATAGAAGAGTATCGTTCATCCTAGACAAAACAAATCTTCACCATGGATCAACACATGTATAGAGACTCTTAGAGTGCTCTCTATACAGTTATAACAGAAACTGTTTAGTTGAAGTTAACTGGCTAAATAGGGTAAAGCAGTAAATATGTAATATATCAAGAAAATTTATTTGAATAAATATTTGTGTTGAGAAAAGAAAAGAAAGTAGAAATCAGGAAGGAACAGCAGAGCCATCTGACAGTTTTCATAGTCTCAGTAGGGAGAAATAAAAGTAGAAAGTTGTTTTATTTCTTGATGATAAATCATATTTCTTCATAATTTTTCAGTTTTGGATTCAAATATCACTTCGTTTCAATATACATGTTTTAATTCCATGGTGAACGTTTGTTTTCTAAAGAGTGAACGATACTCTTCTATTTTGTGATAATAATATGTAGATTATCAAAGTCTTTTTTTCCCGTTATATTGATTGATTGTATTTAGAGTAGAGAAAGAAAGAGAGAAATGATCAAAAGAAAGGAACGATGTAACTATCATATAATAAGCGAATAGAAAATGCAAAGAAAAAATTCAAAGACGACAAGTCGCTCTTAGCAACAAACGATATATGTTCATTCCTCTTCTTATTGGCTGGAGGCTTATAAGCGAATTCAGAATAACCCTCATTGAAATTTTAGTTAAAGTTATAATTTAATTTCTTGAGATTAAGAATTTTAAAAAAATTAAAAATCCATATTTGATAAGTTTATTCAACACGTGACATTGATTAGCTGATGGTTTTCTACAACGATTTTTTTTCTTTTTCCTTTGATAGTTTGCTGTTTCAATTCTTTTTTGACTATCGTAGTTGATGTTTCAACAGCTATTTCTGATTGTTTCAATTCGCTAGATATATCATCATATTGATTTATTGCATCGCCGATTTTTAAATTTTCTCGTAGATTTTTTTTTCGTCATGCGATCAAGGATGAATAATGGTACCTCATAAAAAGAAAAACCAATTATTCATGAGAAACTGATGAGCGCTGTATTTAGTTTTATAGAACAAAAATCTATAAGAATTTAATATAATATAGAAAATTATTGCAAACGATATTTTGATGTTTTCGTAGTGATCTTTGTCACTATTAATAAACAAATAAATATTTTATTCTGTAAATGTTTGATACGTTTAATTTCACTTGCACCAATTTTTAAGTTATATTTAATTACATTAAACAAACAAGATTATAACAAATTATTTCTTAGCTTATATTGAATATATGAGTTCCACATTTTTACCTTATAGAAATTGTATTGACAAGCATATTTTGATGATATAGACTTCAAAATGAACGCATTTCTTCGACTTTTTGTGGAATTTTTGACTTCTTAAAAACTTTTTATGTATCTGACTTAAAATTTGTTGGCTAATGAATTCTAGTAGACACTCGAGTCTTTTAATATTATAATGACCTGTAAATGGCTTTATGATAAGCATTTTAAATATCTTCTTCTGTCAAATGAGTTACTATTTTAAGTATTAGAGAAGTATTTCAAGACCTTTTTTTATGAACAACATTAAAATATACTACTTTGTGTACTATGATTTATCTCAATAAAAAAGTAGTACTTTACAAGTTTTGAATCAATATTCTAAAAACATATTTTAAAAGTTGTTTTTATACAATAGATTCTGATACATTTATCATGTCCTGAATAGAATTGTCAATGTTTTCCACTTATAGACGTATATTTCCTGTTTAGTTCGTTTGAGCTTATAAATAAGCTAAAGTTTAGAGTTGTTTTATATGTGCATTATGGTTTTGAGAACCAAAAAATATTTTCCAATGCATGAAAACTAAGTTCAAATATTGTGATTTGAATTAATTTTTAAATATGTCTGTTAGATACAACATTAACTCAACCAAAAACAACAACACTAGTGACAATACCTGACCGTAGGAATTCAACACCACCAATAACAACAAGAAGAACCTGCAAAGCATACATCAAGTTAGCTGCTGGTAAATGTTTTCTGAATGTAAACATAATTTAAATGAAAATAGTCACAGATTTAGCTGTAGGAGCACCTGATTTTAGGCCATGACTAACAGAGATAATTAAATTATCAATGCACTGTATGTTCGTGCAGAGATAAAATTGATAAGTATTCACAGAGAGCTCTTATATTGATTATGTCATCGATGTCTTTTCTTGAAAAGATCTTTTATTTTCGATTTCGTACCTGCAACAAAACTTTTTTCCAAATTCAGCAAGTATAGAGAAGAAAGCATGCCTTTCGAGAATAAAGATCGATAAGCATAGAAACATTTTCCATTTCAACCTTACAGAATCTTATTCGGCATATATAATTTATTCGAAATTGAAGAGTCTAAAGACGAAAATGCTTCGCATTTTAATTTGCACTCCAGCATTTGTTGGAATGCCATCTAATTTATTTTCATGATTTACACAATGAAACCTCGTCTTCTGTGCTACGATGATCTCGAAAACAGAAAATGAGAGAATATTCGACCGAAGGCTATTACAAAATTTCAGGTTTGAATCGACACCAACCATTTTTCGTCTTTTATTTGAGATTTCATTTATTGACAAACAATCCCAAAAAAGGCATATTTTTGTAGACTTTGCTTTCTTGAAGATTTAAGATAAATAAAACGAAAATAGCAGGAAATATTAGTCACCACGCTCTTTGAATAGCGGATGATAGATAATGAATCAGATCAGGGGTGATAATCAAACAATCAATCGATAGTGTCTTTTCAAAACATATTGACATTTATTGAGTTGTTTTAGTAATGAATTTCGCCATGTTTATTTTTCAATTTCTTTTCAACTTAGATCAGCTAATCGAAATGTAACGTTTCATGCAATATTCATAGGAAAAGAAAATTGATTGCAGCAAGCTAGAAATATTTTCTCGAAAAAACATTTCGTATTCAATCGTAAAAACAATAATTTCATCTCTACGAACTGTCTCCTTCTCGAAAATCGACATTCAAATTATCTTCATACTGTATTTCACATACAAATTCGATTTGTGTGGTATTTATTTACTGTTTGCATTTGTTTGTATAGAACTAAGGCACTAAATAGACTGTCTTTTCTTGTCGAAGTCGGTCACAAATCGAGCTGTCATATTAATACAAATAGTTTGATTCAATTCAAATATTTGGATTTTTATTTTATTTTAATTTTAAAAGGAATAAATTTTGTTTTAATAGATTATTTATTAGGTTTTTGGTTTGCCAATAGCAGTACTCCGTATGAAAAATTACAATAAGAACCAGGTACAATAGTCCAAAACAATATACACTATCGTAGAATAGTAGCAGCTTTTGTGTCATACATTTTAGTTATATACACTTAGTTTTAATCTTTTTTTGCACTCTACATTGTGTGTTTGTTTGCCAAATGTACATCTTCTGTGTGTGTATTGAACAGCTATCTCTTTCTTTAGCTTGTTGCATTTTATTGTGTAATAGCATGTTCATTATCTTGCAACTAATAAGTAAAGATATACAATCACTGAGAATTTTATCGACCTGTGATATGCTTGCAGTACCATGTTCAAGTGTTATTGAAATAACACAAAATATCTTAAGAAGTTCATTACATAAGATATAAAATTGAACATTTCTTGAATTTTATTGTAGTATACACTATTCGAATGTATATAACTTGATGTATATTTTTCTATATTTTTTCATGCTTCGTCAGTTTAAGAATAATATATGGGTGAATCCGTGGGGATTCTACCACTTTCAGGGAAAAACATTTCTTTTTTCAATTTTAATAGGCTACTTAGATGGAACGTCGTCGAAAACGGTCTGAGGTAATAATTAAAATCTTTTTACTCATGAAAAGTATGGCGATCCAAGTGGTTTTTTAGGAACATCTCAAGGTATGTATTTCGAGTGTCCATTAAATAACTGTACAAAGAAAAAGTTGAATATCTCAATTACGGCTCGACCAAACGGGCTCATTTGTTTACCAAGAATAAAGGTATGTTTACACTCCAAATCCATACGGATAAGGTTAGTGAGAACCTTTGTTAAATACCACTATTGACCTCAACGAGAAAAGGAGGTGTCCCAAATTATGGACTGATCGTACCAAACACGATAAGCCTAATTTTATTGGCCCGATAATCAGCATTGAACCCTGATTATTTTTCATAAGTTTATTCTGTATTTTATCACAACTCAATTTTTTGACTCCTGAGGTCCTCTCAGGTTTCGAGAAAAAGTTTTTGTCGCCGTTCGATCAGAAGTCTTTCTATTATCCATTTCAAATTAAAGGAAGAGTGAGTATTTTTGGAGTAATTTTCGATAGAAACTAAATATAGATCTGCGGTTTTCACCGTTTAAAAGAAAAAATGAAACTGCATCGAATCTTAAATACCAGACTTTTCTGACAAGTTTTCTTAGGACTACCCGCCAAGTTTCTAAAACAGAAAACATTGTGTAATGTAAATGTTTTGGAATTTTATTTTTCAATAGTGCAATAGAATCGTTAACTAAAGTTCAATAATCTCGATAAGTTCGGCGTTAAAAGGTTTAGCCAATCAAGAGTTATTAATGTTTTACTAAACATTTTTGGCAGATTTTTAACAAAAAATTGACATTTTTTCTAATTTTTTGGCGAAAAATTCACTTTCTAAACCTATTAATAAGCCTCGATTTTTTAAAAAACTAGGCGGGTGGCTTTGAGAAAACTTGTCAGAAAAGTCTGGTATTCAAGATTCGATGCAGTTTCATTTTCTCTTTTTAACGGTGAAAACCATAGATCTATATCTAATTCCTATCGAAAATTATTCCAAAAATAGTCACCCTTCTTTTAATTTGAAATGGATATTAGTTCGATAGTACTATGTGTGCTGATTACAAATACCATATTATTTTTCAAAAGTACTCAGATAATAAGAAAGATCTGAAGTACTTTCTGGAAGCCGTAAAACCCAGTTTTTGACTTGAAAATCCATCAAAATCCGAACTAAGCTAGTCTCAAATAGGCTCATTTGGTAGAGAATTTCATTCTCTATCAGAATCTATAAGAATATCTTAGACATTCGAATTCTTTTGCTATCGATAAATTCCAATTACTACCCCAATCGGGTCATATTGGCAAAAATAATGATTTTTCGAGTCTTTCGAAGTTATAGTTTTTCCGGGTGCACTAGCTTGATTTTCACACTGGATATGCAATTCAATGTGTTCTTTCTGATGAGACCATTTTCAACTTGAAATCCGATGTCTAGCAAAGCATTTTTGCTGTAACTACAATACTTGATAGTCAATTTACCTCTTTTTTGACCAATATTCGACGGTTTTCGAGCAGAAAGTACTTCGTTTGACATTAAAAATATCTCATATTTGAAATCAGCATAGAAAACTGAGTCGATTTATATACATTTCAAACTGTTTCTAGGACTTTTATTTTTCCGTCAATTGTTTCCCTTGTCCCGCTCAGGGATGAACGGAAAAATGCACTTCATGAGAAAACGTTTTCAACAGTAGAAAAGCCATTCAGAACTTGTAAAATGCTATTTTTAGAGAGAATCAGAGGTTTCCAGATAATTAAGTAGTTGTTTTCATGAAGTTCATTTTTCGTCCATTCCAGAGGGGACCAGGGGGGAAAAATTGAGGAAAAAATGAAAGTAATAGAAACAGTTTCAAATGTATATGAATCAACTCAGTTTTTGTGGGGTGTTGGTGGGTGTGTGGGTGGGTGTGGAGTGTGGGTGTGGGTGTGTGGGGTGTGGGGTGTGGGTGGGCGTGAGTGTGGGTGGATGCTGGTGCGGGTATGGTTCTCATCTTCATCAGTTCCACACCCACACCCCACATCCACACCCACACACCCACACCCACACTCACACCCACACCCATACCCACACCCACACCCTCACCTACACCCACCCACACCCACACATCCACACCCTCACCCACATCCACATCCACCAACACCCACACCCATCCTGTTCGTTAATGTGTTGATTACGTATTCATTTTAAGAACAGAATTGATTTAAGAATCAATCTAGAGGCCAGCGAGATAGGAATCATGATAGAAAAATGCAAAAGGACTACTGATTATAAAAAGCAATCAATCGAGCATTTTTCTTAGACTAGCACAAATCGAAGAATATTTCCTTTTTACATTGAATTTTGGATGATTCAAACACTTCGTAAAATTTAATATCGATACTACACTGGTAATTACCTAATACCCATTTCAAAAAAGAAAAGCTTTCAGCATTTTTTGAATAAATTTTGATAGAAACTATGAATAGAAAGCTGCGGTTTTCATCATTTGAAAGAGGAGATGAAGCTGCAACGAATGGTATAGACCAAATTTTTGTTCGAAATATTTTCAGTCAATCATCAAGTTTGCTAAAAAGAAACTTCTCTTTTTTGAAGTGGGTATAGTTAGACGCTTTAGCCAACTAAACTATTGAGACACAGTCTTTAGTTAAATTCAAACTAAGTGTGAACATTTATTTTTAATTTCTTCAAATAGTATTACGAATAGTGACAGAGACTACGTTGTAAGCAGACTAATTCTAATCAACCTTGATAATCAAGCGTTCAAAACGATGCCTTTCTATTGCGGATGAATTAAACCATATTTAATTATATATAAATATGCATGGCAGAATAGTTGTTATTCATCGATCGAACGGAATGAAATACAACGAAAAGGAAATACGTCTCGACAGAAATTCAAATAAAGGTAATATAACAACGACCAACTAATCAGACGCTTTTATAAATTAAGCTATCGAGACACAGTCTTAATTTTAACTGAAACTCAATACGAGCATTTGCTTAATTTTTTCGACTGAGGAATAATAGCCGTTCTACGATCTTTTATTCGAATAGTAAATAAAAGAGTTCTGTCATATGCATTTATATGTAATTATACGAGTCTCGTTTAATTAATCGCATTTGAAGTGATGAAAAGTTTATAGCTACATAGATTAGATATACAATTGAGTACTCCTACATGATATATTTTCTTAATCTACACCTATCTATGTGAAAATCTTATCAATCTACATTTGATCGTTCATATTATACTGCAAATAAGTTCGACAAATTTGCTTTTGATACTATCTTACTAGAGAACGTTATCATAAAACATCTCTGACTGTAATCAAATTCGCAATACGACTGTTATGAAAGTAGTCGAGCAAATCATCTATAAACATCGCTTTTAAGACCAACCACACTGTTATTCTTAGTATAGTTTAACAGCTCTTTAATTGTTACTGCTGAAATACATGGAGATGCTATCTAATTGAATCGTCTCAAGTCAGAAATATGTATGCATCTATTATAGGCAATGCCTTTGTTTCTGTTACTCAGGACGAGCGTTACTACCGTCATAAACAGTCGTATACAACGCCGTATACGACCAACTACGCTCATTGTAAACGACCGCTTACGACAGTAAACACCAATCTTTCTCGTATTTTTTAACTTCCACCTCCCCCCTTTAATATCTGAATTTTCTCTTACACAATTTAGTAGTAGATTCAAATAATATTTCACAGAATCTGTTTTAAATTCACTGCTATTCAACGATTTCTAAGTATCAGAAAATGACTTTGAACACAAAATTCATTTTTTCTTTGAAAACATTTTCATCGAACGTAATTATTCAACGGACGCTTTCAATAAACATAACTCCAAAGAGAAAAACATTGCATACAAACCCAATTTCAGACACTAAGAAACCATTCAACAATAATCAATCCAAAACATATTCTTCTAAAATTTCATTCGGAAGCACTCTTCAAATTTTTCGAACCAACCGTACCTAAACAAAAAAATTGCAGTGTTGAAAATTAATTTTTGTATACCTAAATAATATTGAATATATTTATCTAAATAGAAAACAGAGCATAACTTTAAAAATATTTTTTCACTTACTTCAGTAATATTGAACTCTCTTTTATTTAAAGAGAAAAAAAAATAATTTTAAAAATCTATTTTTACTCGCCCAACTAATATTGAACTGCATTGATCTAAACGGAAAGAAAACTAATAATCTGAAAAAGTTATTCTTACTTACCCGAATGCCATTCAATCGAATTTATCTAAAGAGAAAACAGACGATCATTTTTAAAATATTTTTTCACTTCCCTTATTAATATTGAACTCCATCCATCTAAAGAGAAAAATAATAGTTTTCAAAATTTATTTTTACTTACTTAAGTGATATTGAGCCCCATTGATCTAAAAAGAAAGAAAATATTAATCTTAAAAACATTCTTTCGCTT